CCCCGCCCATGCTCAACCTTGCCCATTCAAATTCAGCTTTCCCGCGCCCTTTAGTATCACTTACTGCCTCGTGAAAATTTTGGCGGGTAAACTATTAACTCGGAACCACGGAGAGACATTCATCCTTCAAGTTTCGAATTCAGCTTTCATGCCATGTGCGTGAAATTGCTAAATATTTTTCAATGTTTGAACTATTTTTGCATAGACTAAAGTACATCAATAAGCAAAGTGAAAATCATCAATAAGCAGTCGTTCGATGGGCTGGATTGCACAAAACGCATGATCGCACCGGCTAGTCTGGTGCGCGTTGCTATTTATTATGTTCTCCATCCCAGTGCGTCGTAATGTGCATTTATTTGCGTTTTATGCGTCGCCCCTTGGCATTTGCTAATTTGTCTAACAGCGAACTGTATCCTCTCTGTATTCATTCTCTATTAGAAGTGTAAGCAGCATGTCTCTTAAAATAATTGGCCAACGCACGGGCTGCCCCTGCGAAGATGCGCTTTTTGCATAGCCCCCCGCAGATTTTTGTCGCTAACGGCACTGGTTTTTCCGGCAGATGCTTCTAGCTAAAAGAATTCCAGACTGGCCGCCAGAACTGTCAGGAAACACGACGCGGGTGATGGCGCTCATTTTGGGGATTGGGGCTGCCACGTGCATGTAGATTAAGTTCCTGAAGTTTCAGCTTTGCAGCTTTTATAGGTCTTGAGATGAAAGTACGTGACAGACGCGCACACACACACACGGACACACAGACAATATGCGTTTTTACATTGCACAGCTGCAACAAACGCATAAAAATGAACACTGGAAAGCTAACCGCAAGCCAATCCGTCCTCAATATTTGCATTCAGTTCAGCAAAATTCATTGACAACATGAACGGTAATTTCTCAATCAGGCAGTGTAATAGCGCTCATGTCTGAAATGCACTTGCATCAGGATTAACTAAGTTATACATAAGCCAGCAGCTGGTAGCAGCCAGGTTGACCCAGGAAGCCCAAATGGTGACGGCGTGACAGATTACAGCATGAAAGAACTTGCTGAGTTTGGTTAGTGTTTACAGCTAAGGGATGAAACAC